CTCTGCAAAGTTTGTGAAAATATTTGTTTTTCTCACCTCTCACCATATACAAAGGTTTTAATAAGCTTTAACAAACATACAAGCAAACAAACCCTTAATTAAAATAAATAATTTAAATTTCTAACCTGAAGGCTTCTATGAAACTTCGACAATCCCCAAACACTCAGGTGATGATGGGAGAAAACAGAACTGGGATAAAGACAGAGCAGGAACATCCCAGACAGTGCTGGAGGACCAGTGGGGATGCTGCAATTTCCTCTCCCCCAGTTACAAGTGCATTTTTGTCTTTTTTTTTTTTGGGGGTGTAATTTTTGCTGTAAACACACCTCACATGTAACTGCTCCTCTGCAGGCTCTTCAAACACTGGGTCACACACTCTGAGTGATGGTTGTTTTATTCTTTTATTCAACTGTCATTGGTACTGGTTATTTGGGGGGGTCCAAACCAAAATATTAAAATTGCAAGCTAAGAGAGCAGCAACACAGCAGATCCGTTGTAAACAATTTATTATTATTTTCTACCTCAGTTACTTACAGGAAAAAAGTCATAAAAAAAAAGAAGAAAATAAAAAGAAAAAAAAAAAGAAAAGCACAGATGGACTATTTACAAAAAATGAGAAAATTCACAATAGCTGAAATGTTTGCAAATCATGCACACTAAGACAAGTTTCACAAAAGCAAAGCAATTCATAGCAAAAAAACCCAAACAAAATAATAAGAAGCCATACAGATTAAAAAAAGCTATTGCCTGCAGAAAAGTCAAAAGAAAACTACCCAAGTATTACATCAAGCATCTTTAATGAAATGAACAGCACAGCCATGGATTGTAGAGCCTTTGACACTGACATTTTAAACAAGTGGATTAACAAACATTAAAATGCATTACAGTTCTACTGTAAGCATGCAACATACTTCTCACAAACTTGTCAAACGGGTAGCAACACTTCAGAACAGCAGGATTTGAACAGAATGTGTGTTCTCTACCCAGAATGCAGAGTGTGGTCTTGTTAAAGCCAATGGGGGGAGGTTTGCAGCTCTCCTGCCACTTGGGTGGAGATGAAGAGGTGCAGTGTGATGCAGCTGAAGCAGGGAAAGCTCGGCCAGAATTTAGGAAATTTTGCCCTTGATTTGCAAGCAAAGTTTGGAAGGAGAAGCAGCTGCAGGGAGATTGCAGGACCATTGCTGGTCAGAGCTGGCATCAAAGAATCTCAGAAACCCAGAATGGTTTGGGTTGGAAGGGACCTTAAAGCTCACCCAGAGCCACCCCTGCCATGGCAGGGACACCTTCACTGTCCCAGGCTGCCCCAAACCCCCCCGGCTCTGGGAGCAGGGCAGGAATTGCTGGGGCAGGGGGGGCAGCAGCTGCCTGAGCCCCTCTCTTGGTGGCATCTCAGCATGGCCCTGTGTGATGGTGGCAGCTCCCCAGGAGCCCCCAGGCCAGAGGGAAGGGGATGGGACACGAGTGGGGCAGTGCCAGCACGGGGTCACAGCTGGGGTGACACAGCCCCGGCTGCCCAGGGTCCCCCAAGGGTGCCAGGGACAGGAGGTGCCTGTTTCACTGCACCCCCGGATGGGATTTGTGCCACTGCTGGATGTTAAAAAGTGCCAGTCACTCTCTCTGGGGCTGTTTGGTGACACCAAATCAACCCAATCCCCCTCCTCGCTTCGCTGATAAAATCATTCCTAAGAAGTTTGTGAGAAGTCATGCCTTCAGAACGCCCCTGACCCCATCCTTGTGAGTTACATTCCAAGTGGGCATTAAAAACTCATAACAAAGCAGAGGAAAAAAAAAATTAAAAAAAAAAAAATAAAAAGCAAACTCAAAGCAGTGAGGATATGGAGCTTTTAAAAAAATAAAAATAAAATAAAAAGTCCAGTCAATCAAACCAGCCAGTAAGAGCAGCAATTTTTCAGTGGACATTGATATTAAACATGGACCACCCAGGCTTTCTCTGTCTCTCTCTCATTAGCACTGTAGTAAACCCCGATTAATTTGTTATGCATCTTTAAGAACTAGTTGATAAAAATTATGTCTTGTGAAATCGGCAAATAGTCTGCAAAGTGAAATAAGAACAGAAATTAATAGATTAAACTGAAAAGATAAGTCCCAGAAATAAAAAAAAATTAAAAAAAAAAAAAGAAGAGACACAGAAAGGGAGTGATTGCAATTAAAATTAAAATAAAAAAAAGAGGCAATGTACTGCATAAGGAAGGGCTGGGAGGAATAATGGGATGGGAGGAGATAGAGCAGTGCCAAAGGGTTGTGTCCTGTCCCTGGAGCCAGGGGCTGTCCCATGCCATAGGAAATGGCAGAGATGTGGGAGAGGACACGGGACAGCCCCAGAGGGGACAGGACAGGGAACGGGAATGCAAACAGCTGGGTGTGGCATTTGTACCTCATTCACTTGGACAACAGGAAAAACCATCAGGACAGTTCAATCAGAAGGGAATTCCTTTTTCTGCCTTTGATTGACTGAGACAGGGACTGGGCAGCACAGGCTGTGCAGGGACAGTGGCTGTGGCAGCCCCGTGGGGTGAGCCCAGCCCAGCCCAGCCCGGCTGCAGGACAGGGCTCAACACTGCAGGACCCCTGAGAGCAGCCCCGAGGGGGGCTGAGCACTGCTCTGAGCGTTTGTACTGAGGCTGCACCACCCCTGGGCCCAGGGAGGGAGGAGAGGGAGCTCTCACACCCGGGAGGCTCCCGCAGGAACAGCCAGGAACTTCCCCCTCCAAACCACAACTCCGAGATTTCCAACCTGACAACTTCTCCTGCCCTGCTCCCGAGAGGCTCCCTGGCACCAGGCCGGGCTCTGTGCCCCAAACACCTTCCCCAGCACAGGGGACCCCATCGTGCTGCTGGACCATTGCCCACAACATCCCTCTGGCCAGGACACTCCCGTGCCCCGTTGTGGTTCCGGAGAGCAGAGCCCCAAAGCACCTGAGAAACTCCCAACAACTCTGGAAAGCTTCTGATTGCTGCTAAGGATGAAGTGATCCGAGCAGGAGGGGAGCAGGGGGGCAGAGCTTTGGGGCAGGGGAACTCAACAAGGTGAGACAGGACCCTGAGCATCTCCTGGTGCTGCCTGGCTCCCCTGGCCCCACAGTGACCCACACATTTCTGGTGGGGATAATCCACCTGGATTTCTTTCTTTCCATATTCAATCTCTGCAGGAGACTGAAAATAACCAGGCAGTAACTGGAAGTCCTGCTTTGATAAAAACAGGCCCTTAACAAAAATACATCTAAGGAGGGGTCGAGTCAAGGGTGCCTTTGCTGTCAGCGAGCAAACACGTTTGCTTTAGACATGTTTATAATTGAACTCGTCTAAGCTCTGCTGATTTCCAACATCAAACCTATCAAAGGTGTCTCTCCTTCAATGCCTTTGTAAGAATCAGCTGCTGCCTGGACTGGTGAGGAGTCAGAGCATGAGACAAACACACAAACACCTGCTGGAGCCTCCTCCTCACCTCCAGCTCCTGGCTGCAATCCTGCACACGGGACTGTCCTGCTGCTTCCAGCAGAACCAGACGTGGTGCCACCCCAGCAGCTCTGCTGTCTGCCTGACACCCCAGCTGTTCCACACCTGGCCTGGGCCAGGCGGGAAAATGGACCACAGGTGGGAAAAGGTGGCTCAGCTTTCAGAAGAGCCTTGCATTTGTGAATTCGAATAAACAAACCCTCACAGCACTGTTCCCCTCTGTGTTATCAGTCCTGCAAAAAACAGCTGCACAACAGCCCCATCACAAGGACACTGCTCACCCTACAGATGACAATAATTCGTGTTTTTCCAAGGCAGGGTCTCATCCTAACGACCCAGGGCTGGACACAAGGTTCCAGTTTGCCCCAGTGTGCTGCAGGTGTAGCCAAGCACTGTGCACATCCTCACCCATCCTAGAGAACTTTCCTGAGGTGTTGGTTTTCCTCCTGCCCCTCCCTGCTCACTGCAGGGGCTCCCTGGGTGTCCCTGTCACCCCAAGCTGCCACCCCTGAGGAGCACAGGACCCTTGTGATGAGGCTGCTGAGGCATCCAGGGCTCTCCTCACCAGGCTGAGGCTTCAGCCACAAACCACAGAGCAAAGCCACTGCTTTGCTGCTCGCAGCTGCCTGGGAGAACCCTGGGGTGGGAGGAAACTCCTCGTCCTGTGTGCTGCCAGTGCCACTGTGGGATGTGCTGGAAAGGACCAAGGCTTTGGATGGGATGTCCCAACCCTGGAAGTGTCCAAGGCCAGGCTGGATGGGGCTCTCAACAACCTGATGTGGAGGATCAGAGCTGCTCACTGCAGGTCCCTTGCAGCCCAAACCACGGTGCTGTGTGTGCCCTGAGCCCGCTGAGCCCCAGCCCAGCACGGGAGGGGGAACCAAGCGACGCCGAACCCCAGCACCCACCCAGGCTGGACCCTGCTGCTGGGGGGGGGGATCCCCCAGAGCTGGGAACCCCCAGAACCCGGCACAGAAGGCAGCAAGGCTCACTTTGCACTCCAGAAGTGAAGGTTCACTTACCACAGGCCAGCACGGGAAGGGGCGTGCGGGTCCCCGTGTGCCTGCCTGTGTGCAGCTCTACAGAATCTATGGAAGGAAAAACCCATCAAAGGGAGGGCAACAGCTCCCCAGTGAGCTCTCTCTTGCTTTAATTTTCTTTTTTTTTTTTTTTTAATTTAAGAAGTTTGTTTTCAAATAACCAGTACCAATTTATACGTTAGGAAAAATGTGTTGAAAATGATGTCGCTATAAAGGTCTGTTTTAAAATAGTTTAAAAAAAAAAAAAGATAAAAAATTTTGCTGTTGTGTGAGATGCTCCCTGCAGACTTGCCTGTCTCAGCTTGCAGCTACAGACTTAAAAAAAGGAAAGAAACCCAAAAAAAAAAAAAAAAAAAAAAAAAAAAAAAAAAAAAAAANCCAAAAAAAAAAAAAAAAAAAAAAAAAAAAAAAAGAAAAGAAAAAAAAAAAAAAAAAGAAGGAAAGAGGGGAAATAAAGCAAATCTGCACATGGAATGTACGTACCTGGGAACTGATAACTGTAACTTGGGGCAAATCCAGGATATCCTCGGCCATATGTTGCAACAAAATTCGGGTAACCTTGATCACAGAAATGTAAAAACAAAAAAGAAAAAGAGAGAGAGAAGTTTGAGGATTAATGAAGGGGGTTTTTTTTCAGGGTTGTTTTTTTTTTCCAGTTTGTTTTTTAACACAATACACAATGACAGGGAAGATATGGGCGAGACCAAATTTTACGGAAGGTATTAAAAAAAATGAGATTTATTCTGCTCATGCCAAACTGCAGAGAGGTTTCATCATTATCCTGAATAGAAACATCTCGAGCTGCCGAGCAGGAGCCCTGTCACTCTGGTAATTAACATGCACTTGGGTGTCTGGAGCCCAAGGACTGTGCATACTTGTTAGCTGGAAGAGTAAATGCCAAATGCTAAGGCTAAACACATAACACGGGTTTGCTCTGACATTTGGAGAGCTTACAATGAATGTACTTTGCTTCAGAGCTATTGACAGTTGGAGATTAAGGTAGTAGTAATTCTTTATCCCGGGAGTGTGAAGGACAACAGTTAACACATCAAAGAGTTGGAGGCAGCAGCAGAACGAGCCAGGGAGTCAAAGAGCTTTTAATTTTTCAGGAAAGTAAAAGGAAACTGCAGGAGGTGCTTCTGAAGGCCCCTTCTGAGGCTGAGCAGGCGACCTCGGGCAGCTTCGGGAGGGTTATTAGGAGAAAAACTCACTTTGAGAGCATTTTGTGAATAGAAACATCTCGGTGAAGGCACAGAGTGACAACTCTGCTGGCTTCACTCTGCTGTCTGTGACGTGCTGGATTGTCCCCCTGATCCCTGGCAGCACCCATGGGGTGACACCCTGTGACACCCCCTGTTTAACTCCCCCACAGCCATTCTCTCTGGTCACACAGTGGCCATCTGCTCTGACCCGCTGGCCAATGGCCCAAGGTGTCCTGTACACTCGGTGGGTTTCCTAAAATTCTAACCTGACATTGATCCTCGGCATTTCCTTGCTCAGTTTTCTTAAAACCAGGCACCAATTCCAGTGCACGAAACACGACAGAATGTCCCCACTGAGCCTCAGCATCAGCCCAGGCCTCTCCAAACCAAGAAAGCATCAGGAAAAGTTTCCTCCTGCTGTCTGAAGTCAGTGGGAATCCTGGCAGCAGCTGGGCTGGAGCCTGAGAAGACGCTCAGCAGCCCAATGGCTCTTCTGGGGGGCTCCTATCTCTGCTTTTATTTATCCTTTAATACACTCATCCATCACTGGGCTATTTTCCTGCTGCAGCAAGTCCCTCCATTTCCGATCAGATTTATACATACATGCAGTGTACTATTAATCATAATCTAAAACTGGAAGATAAAAATGCTTGGATGAATTCTGATGATGGGATTAAGCAGTGCCAGGCGAAGGCAGCCCCTCGATGCCCGGGCAGCACACACTGCTCAGCCCTCCCTTCACAGCTCAACAGCTGGATTCCCTTAGAAATTAATCACCTCTGTCATTAAATCAGATCTTTCAGAGTTAAGCTTTACAAACCTTTTTTCTTTCTTTTTTTTTTTTCCCCCAAACAGCACTATTGATAAATGGATTGTTTGCTAAGTAAGTAGCGCCATTAACACCACTGAAAAATCGCTCTGCGGTGTCCGACCACAGCCTCCCTCTCCTTGCCAAGGAAGAATTCAGTTTATTCCGATTCAGACAGTCCTGGAGCAGATCTGTCAGCTCACAGGGCAGCACCTGAGCTCTGCAGGTGAGCTCTACCTGTGGCCCCAGCAGGGTGGGGGATGGCAGCTGCCCACAGTGCTGTGGATGCCACCCCTTCTGCTGCCTGCCCTGGCATGCTCCTGGCTCTGACCCCAGGGCAGCCCTGCTGTCCCTGGCCAAGGCTGGCTGTGCCTGACTGCCACAGCACCAGCCAAGCTGCCCGGGGGCTCTGCTGGCACCGCCAGCGCTCAGCGCTCTCAAAGTCAGGCAGATGAAATCATAAATTTATAATACAACATTACTTCAATTTTCCTCTTCATTTACTGCTGCAGTGCCCAGCTCTGCTCTAATGACTCGAAGCCTGATCCTCGTGGGGACACTGCCTGGCTGAATATCAATGGTGTTTAACACCACGCCCACGTGGATGCTTCATCAGGCCAAGAGATGAAGGCCACGCTGACCTACCCAACATTCCCATGAGGTGCCATCCTCATCCTCATCCTGTACTGGGCCCTGAGAAGCTGATTTGCCTTGGTAGTCCTGGGGAGTGAACAACCCCTTGTAAGTAAATCAAAAATCCAAGTTTTCACTGGATCACCTCGTTCAAAGCAAGACTCTCCAGTCCATGGAAGCAAAACTCAACCCAGCAGCCAAACCACTTTCACAGCACCCAGCTCCTGTCCAGGCTGTGGAAATGTCTTTTCATTTTAAAATTTGCTAATGGGGTGGACAAAAGCTCATGGTCAATACGTGGGAATGCTGAGCACATAGGAGCCAGGGGACCCATGCAAAATTAGTTCACATGCTCCAGAAAATGCAAGGAAGCTGTTGTCTCCAAATGTTGCTCTGAGTTGCAGCTGCTACTCCACTGAACAGTGTCTGGTGGAAAAAGGAATGACTTTCTTTGAAGGGCACAAGCTTCTTTTATGCATGAGCTCAGCCTACCTAGACTGAGCGTGTGCAGGAACACAGAGCCCTGCCAGACACCTTCCCAAATCCGTGTTCCTGCCACACTTCCCTCCAGCACTATGGGCTGTGAGCTGGGGGCTGACTGCTTCCATCTCTGGCGGGGTTTGCAAGCTAAAAGCAGCCCAATTTTAACACTAAACACCAGGCTGATGCCCATCACCAGGAGAAATGAGTGCTGCAAGCCCCAGGGCTGGGTCACCTCCTGAGCTGTGTCCCCACTGTGGTGACTGCAGTGTCCCAGCCACAGAGAGCAGCTTCACATGAGAGGAGAGACAGAAACCATCTCCTCTTAATGCTGCTCCTCTGCTGCTCTCTTCTTTACAAGTTTTCAGGCACACACCTGAACAGAGTGCAAAAAGCTGTAGGGCAGTGCTGTGACACCCACACACCCTTGGGTGCACACAGGGCTCCTGGTCTGGGCCAGGTGCCAGTGTGAGGCTCCAGGCACACAGGGAGCTTCTTGGTCACCAAACTGCTCCAAATCAGCCACGGAGGGGGGCACACAGGGCCTGTTCATGAGCACCCACGGGGCTGGGGTGCAGGGAGCTGCCAGGGAGATCAGTGAACTGTATCTGCTCTGTTCTTTATGCAGAGAGGCTCATTAAAGCCCCTGCTCCCCAGCAGCAGCCCCAGACAGCCCCGCAGCCGTCCTGGCAGAAGGCTCAGCCTGCCCGAGCTCTCCCAGTCAAAAAAAAATCCTTTCAGGACACTTTAATTTTGCTCCAATCAACCAAATCATCACAGAAGCGGCTGCCTGTGCACCTTTAGACCCTGGCTGCTGCAGGCTCCTTGGGGAGGCTGTGATTAATGAAAAAGACCAACTTCCTTAATAGCTTTGGAGGGAGTCGCTCCCCGCTCCTTCCTTTGGGTTGTCTCGTGCCTTCGTTCCTCTCATTCCCTCCTCTGCCCATGAACAGCAGCTGGAGAAGGTGACCTTGAGCAAGGGCTTCTGGAAACAGGTAGAAAAATCCTTCCAGAGCAGCCCCAGTTGCTCTGCTTCAGCCCCTTTGGGCACAGAACACAGGGGCAGACCTGACCTGGCCCCGTGAGACCCCACAGAAGGCTCGGCAGTGGTGATGGAGCTCTGTGTCTGATCATTTGATGGGTTAATTATGCCCCTCTTCCTGCAGGGATGGGCCCTGCAGCCTTTGAGACTGGGGGTTTCTGACGGCCCTGCAGCAGCTCTGCTCTCCTGTGCTGCAATTTCCTTGTTTAGCACTTAATTATTGAACACGGTGCCGTGGCAGCGAGCAGGAACGTGGAAGATGAAAAAGCAGCTCGAGTGGATAATGAAGCATCTGGCCTTCAGCGTGGATCCATCACTAATGCTCAGCCAGTGCCCCCAGTGTGAAATGCAGGGAGAGCAGAGCAGGACTGGAGCTGCACTGCTCAGGGAGAGCCAAGCCCCCACTGCAGCAGCACCAACAGGTCCAACAGGTGCCCCAGCTCTTCCTCTGGGCAGTTCCACTCACTGAGGGCTCCTTCCCTTAATTCTCACAGCTCGAGATGATCCTTTTCCCGAGAGACAGCCCCAGTGGGAATGGAGTGTGCCTGGAGGCTGCATTTTCCCTTCAGGACACTGGGGTGGATCCAGCTCCATTCCCTCTGTGCCCAGCTGCAAGGAAAAGGGCTGAGGCCATATGCTGGGGTGGATGCCATGGATCTTTCTGGCTTTCCCAGGGTGACCTGGACTCTGTCCTCCTGCAGCCAGCAGGACAGGCCAGCACGGTGGCACACAGACCTCCACACCCCACCTCCAGCACCCCGACCTGGGGCAGCACGGGAGGAAAAGGAAGAGAAACAGCAGAGATCAAGTGCGTTGGCTCAGGCACACTGGGAACACACAGGTAACGAAATCACAGACTGACTAGAGCAAGATAAATATTTTAAGCATAAAATGTGATTTCCAAACACTGTGGGGCAGGGTGGTGGTGGAGCGTGGGGACAGCAAAACAGATGATCAGCTGAAATAACCCAATTACACATCCCAGAAATGGATCACTCCAGCCACACCAACAGAAGTGCTATTAATTCAGAGATAAAGCAAACATGGCAGCAAGATTTTCCTATCAAATCAAGCAGTGCCTGGTGTCAGACACCTCAGTGTAACAGCCTGATCCTTGCAGGAACTGAGCCCTCCGAGCTGATGCTCACCCCAGGGGCGCTGGAGTCCTCCAGCATCCAAACCAGCCCCTGAATCTGCTCAGCAGAGCTCGGGGAAACCCAGATTCCAAGGCTGGGCTTTGTGCTCAGCTTCTGGGATCATCTGAACCCAGGACAGGGAAGTCAGAGCATCCTGAAGGGGGACACTGGCCTGGGAAAGGTTCACTGCTGCTTGGGGACACCTCCAGATTTGCCCTCCCATTCATTCCCACATGCCTCATATGGACACAGGAGGTGACAATTGAGGGGAAGTCCGGGGATACCGAGGGAGCAGAAAGTTTAAAATATTGGGTGTTTTACAAAAAAAACATTGGCAATGGATTAGCAGCATTTTGGCCGAGGACAGAGTATGTGGGGTTGTCACATTATTTAGAAAGAATTATCTAGGCAGAAACAAATGAGAACCAATTATAACTAAATAGACCTCGTGCACAAATAGGAATTTGCCATTAAATATCATTTATCCGATTTAATTAGTATTTTCTGGACACAATACTCAGGACTAAAATACCATTCCATCTCCTTGAAACTTGTAATTATTGTTGCGACCTGTCCTGTTACACATCCCCCCACTTCCTCCATCCATGCCATTTAAGAACCAGCAAGATTTTCAATTATCTATGGTGAACTGTCAAAGCTACCTTTAAAAGAAGGGGAATAACGTGTGACTCAATTCCTCTAAAAAAGGGGAGAGATCATTTTTAGTCAGAATGAACACACTGCATCTTTCATCATTCTATTTTTGCGAGTAAGAGTAAAACAGGCTATTTAAAACATCCATTTAAATGCAAATTTTTTATATTCCAGGCTGGGAGGGGGGGAGTTAATCATTTACCACAGACAGGATTATTTTCTTCACTCCACCCCTGCTTGAAGTTTGAGCCTGTGCACCCACACAGGTGCAGGGATGTGCTGAGCCCTGTGCTGAGGGCTTTGGCAGTCAGGGAGGCAGCAGAGGCCGTGCAGGGCTGGCTCTGGCACTTACCCAACATTCCCATCCCGAGCATGAAAGCGTCCATGGTGTACGGCAACCCACGTGCCCTTCCTCTCGTCCCTGGTGGAAACATCACTTCTTTAGGTTGTGCTTTCTTACATTCTACCTATTGAGCAGAAACATGTACAAATGAGATGCAAATGAATTCCATGTAAATGTCAAATGCAGAGCTGATCTACTTAAGGGGGGGGGGAGGTTTATTTTTAGCTTCTGCCTCCCCACACCTCCTCCCGCTCAAAGGTGAACTTCCAGAACAGCGTAACCACATCTGAAAGAGCCAACGCGTGTGTCTCCACTGCAGCCCCCCAGAGGTGACACAAGTGCTGATTGAAGAAGTTCTGTGTTCCTGAAAGGGAACCTGGCACTTGTGGGATGAATGGAGGGAGGGCTCCAGCACGGCTCCATTGCAATCGATAACACAGAACGACTCCCAGTGATCATTACAAAAAGCTCCTTTTAAAATAGGAATAAAGAATCAATATTTCTACCCAGCAGAAAATTTCTGTAAACCCTATTAATAAAGGATCTGCATTCTTTCACTTTCAGTTACTCCTGCTGCCTTTGGGAGTTGCTCCAAGCCACTGGAACCACGTGGGGATTCTGTGAGAATTCTGTGAGCCCTGCTGCCAGTGGGACACCCAGGAGCCCAGGCAGCCTCCTCCTCCTCCCAGGAAAAAGGAGAAATGCAGCACTTCTCCATGGCTCCTTGCTCAGGCACCCCCAGCACACAGCTCAGCTCCTGTGCTCTCCTGGGCACTGTTTTGGAGCTGGCTGGAGTTATCCCAAGGCATTGTTGTGGCTGCACAGCTCAGGCCATGCATGTGCATGTGCAGTGGTGCAGCCCAGCACTGCAGGGGCTGCAGGGATGCATCACAGGGCTGAGGGCTGGAATCCACAGCTGCCTCCAACTTTGTTCTTCTGATTTTGAACTATTTAACAGGAGTTTGCCCAGATGATCCCTCCAGTCAGACGAAGGGGGGAGCACCACAAGTGTGTCATGGTCCCTTCACTGCACAGCCACATCTTTTGGGAGGGAGGGCACAGCTCCCAGCGTCAATGGCAGCATTGGTAACACCCACGGCCACTGGCACTGCACAGTCAGGATGATAAAACCCATCCAGCCTGGATGGATGGGCAATTAACAGGGAAATGAAGTTTGGATTAGCACTGTTAGAAACAATAACCTGGTAATTAGCTTTTGCAACCGTAACCCAAGCCCACTGCTGCTCCCTGTGAGCCTGGCACTGCTTCTGACTTCCAGAGCACACAGGATACAAAGGGAATGGCACTGAGCTGCAGAGGGGCTTTAACCAGGATTAAAGGGGAAGCAAAAGTCACCAGTGGGAAAGAAAAATAATTCCTAAGCCTCTGTAAACAAATATACCCCATATGGAGGGCAAGAAGATTCTCTGTTATCCAGACTCCGTGGGAGGGATGATGTGGGAGCTGGCACTGGGACAGTGCCCTGCTCCACTGTCCTGGGACTGGGACTGCCTGACCCGGCCCTGCCAGCTCATCCCAGGGGACTGTCACACTGCCCAGGCAGCAGTGCCACACCAGGAGGAGCCCTGGGAAGCACCATCCCCCCATCAGCAAACTGGGACAATGCCAGAACAGGAGTGAAGCACCACAGCAATGGACACACTGGGGGCTTGGGTGGTGCCTCTTCACCAACAGCAAAAGCAGCAAGAAAAGAGGCCTGGCTGCTCTTCTGCCAGAATCCAGCCCTGTCCTCACAGGGAAGGGGATGGAGATGGCCAGAACCATTCCAAAGCCACAGATATCCCACGGGGAAAACCCTGGAGGCAGCAGGGTTTGTGACAGCACATGTGACAGGACATGCACTGGGGCTTCTCCAAGAGGAAATGAATATGGATTTATGAGTCAGGGCTCAGCTCCATATGGAATTGCCCCCGAGAGCTGCCTGATAAGGGTCTTTGTACACACATCTGGACCTCACTCAAACTTTCAATTCAGTGTTTCTGGGCATCTTAATAATTTCCAGATTTTTTTCCACTTTCTCGTATAAGGATGTGCTACACTTTCAGCAGCCCAACAAAGAAAGGTTTAACTCTAAGGCTAAAAAAAAAAAAAAGGAAAGAAAGGAAAGAAAAGAAAAAAAAAAGGCAAGGAAACTAAAATTCACTATTTTTGTTTAGTCTAGTTTGGAGAATTAACCTTACACTGGGGTACTCCTGGGTCAAGTGGAGCAGTCTCAGCCACGGGAACCCAGGAGGGCTGAGCTGGGGAGTGAAAAGCCTCTTATACCCAGCACAACAAAACAGGCTGTCAGCTCCCAGCCCAGGATGTCTCACAAACCCCTGGTTAACAGCCTTCCAGGGAAACCAGGGCTATTTTGAGGAAAGCAGAACGTGCAATACCCACAATGCACAAACCCCCATTGAGCCACCCCAAGACAAGGAGACTTTGTTGTGCCAGCAACGTGTGATCTGCAGCCTGGTGGGCTCTGATCACCTTGGGGACAATGTGTCACTCACACCATGGGCAAGCCACTCCAGGCAGCAGAGGTTTGAAGCTTATTTTTAAAAATGCACTGAGTCGTGGGTCTGTTGATCCACCACACCACTGCTCAATGGCTGGGGCCATTTAAAGGGTCTGGAACAGGCCCTGGCACAGAGGAGCTGTGGCTGCTCCATCCCTGGCAGTGCCCACAGCCCACAAATCCTGCCAAATCCCACCCTGAGAGGGAGGAAGAGCCACAGGTGCTGGGCAGTGTCACAGCCTCTTCTAGAACAGCCCAACGTTTCTGTCAGCTGCTCAGGAGCCTGGCATGAGAGCCTGGCTCCAGGCTCAGCTCATCACTGTACCCAGGCTGTGAATGACTCTACAGTGGGATCTAAGGGAAGATAATTACTCCATCACGTTTCTTTTCCAGCTACTTTTACTTTTCCTTAGAAAAACAGGTGTTTCTTTGCAAAGCAGCCTGCTCCTGTCAAAGGAACAATCAACCACAGACAGCTCGTTTGGGTTTATTGTCCCCCTGCAATGTTTGGAGCATCTTTGGCCTCCCACGTAAATTCCAACTTCCATTTATTAAATACCTCGCTGGCATTTTCTTTTCACTGTCCTACTGCTCGTTTAATATTACATTTGACATTCTAAGCTTTATGGATGGCAACAGGAGCAGAATGGAGGAGCTAAAAATAACCTGCCAGGGAGGCTGGAGCTGGAAATAGGCTGGGGAGCAGCAGCCACCCCACTGCCCTTTGCTTGCCCCCACGTTTGGGGAAATGATCCCAGAGAGGAGGAGGAGGAGCAGGAGGAGCGAGCTCAGGGCCAGCCCCAGCCCACGGGGCTGTGGATGTGCCAGCTGAGCAATGGGGATGGGGACAGGGATGGGGACAGGGATGGGGACAGGGATGAGCACAGGGTGTCCCAGTCCAGCTCACTGAGCTGCTGCAAACCCCACGGCCTCGGGCTGGGGCTGTGAGAGCTGGTCCCCTCCCCAGCCCGGGGACACAGGGGGACAGATCCGAGTGTGACATTGTCCCCAGCCAGCCGTGTGTCACCCCCCGGCCCCCGCAGGGCTGGCATTCAGCTGCAGACACATCAGCAGGGCAATGACTCAGGCCCAGGACACGATCAGGTCTCATCCCCTGCTCGTGGGCTGCTGTCACAATCTCTGCTGGAGGAGTGACAGGGAGAGAAGGCTCAGAGATGGTGGCACCTGCAGGGGGCACTGAGTGGGCACAGGAGTGGGAAGGGGATATTTTAATTGCCCAACAACAAACACCAACACCCAGAACTGCTTCTCTCGCTGTTTGTGATGTTCCTCGAGTGTTTTCACCCTGTCCCGTCCTCATGGAGATGCCAAGAGCCAGGTGAGGCTTTTCCAGCCCAGGGGTGCAGATTCAGGGATGAAGCATCAAACCCTGTCCCTGCCTGGGGCACATCAGTCAGTGCCTGCTGCTCCCCCCAGGGCAATCCTGAGTCCTGCTCCAGAAGAAATGGAATTATTCCTGCTGCAGGGAATGACTAAACCTTTGGAGTGTGGATAGGAAAATCCTGGAGGGGAGCTCTTCCCTCTCACCTGCCAACCCCTAAATTTACATCCCCAGCGTTTCTAATTTGTCTGCTGTGTGGGGGTGGTTGGGGTTTGCTCTGTTCTTTTGTTTTGAGGCAGATTAACAGCGTTTAGAAACCATAAAAAGGGAATGAGCCTCCCCCAGCCCCCAGGCACTCAGGTGAGCTCTGTGGGGACAGGCAGGTGACGCCAGGGCAGGAGGGACAATAGGACAGGCAAAGTCCACAGCATCCACCTGAAGTGGAGCAAGAGAGTTCCCACAGGACCAGGAGCACGCCCCAGCCCTGCCCCAGCACCCCAACCCACTTTTGGCCAAGGGGACCCTCACTTTTATTACAGGTGCACATTGCAGGGAGGAACAATATGAGGAATATTATTTCAGTGCCCTGGGAAAAATTAGCAAGTCAAATATTGAATCAGGCCTCCAGCATATGCCAAGGAGATTGCTTTGATCTTATCCACACTAAAAGCTCTATTATTAAATTTAAAGTCTGTGAACACATATCAGACCAATATACAATGCATATCTGAATACACATTTGAGAAGCAAAGGATGTTTTGACAAAGGGAAAAAGAATATTTTAGCCGAAAATATCAAAGTTGCTGCAGCAATTGAAATACAAATGCCCCTTTTCATCTGGCTCAGGGCAACCCACAACCTGGGACCTGCCTGTCACTGAGGAGGAACTTCACCCAGGTTCCAGCTGAACTCACACCCTCCTCAAGCCTTCACACACCAAAAATCTGCTCTGAGCCCAGCACCAACACTCACCATTTTATTATTGATTTCGTGGAAATGAATTTCACAGACTTTTTCCACCACGTCTTCATTTTCAAAAGTTACGAAGCCAAATCCTATTTAATAAAGATACAAAAAAAAAAAAAAAAAAAAAAAAAAGGGGAGGGTTAAGGAAAACATGAGTTAAGTGTAACAGTTTCATTGTAATAAAGCATTATTTAGCCATTTTGGGGACTTTGGAAAACTTCCATACCAACACACACATGTGGATACACGTGCTGCCTGTGGAGCTGCTCCTGAGCTCATTGCAGCCTAATGGAGGGAAGAAGCATTGTCTCAGGGAAAAATTAATATGGTTCTGTTCCAGCTCTTCCATAGGATTTAATGGAGAATTAAAACCTCCTTATGGATTTTTTGATCCATCCTGCAGAATTTAATGGATAGTTACACCCCAGTTACATGATGGCTCGGAAACTACAATAAGGCTGTATTTTCTTTTACACCTTATAGGTTTTTAAGAGCAATCTCTACAAAACCCAATTATATTTCTATGGAACCATATTGATTTCATCTCTTGTTTAATTCCACGGGACTTCTCCATTAGAGCTGACTCATTACACGACCCAAAACCCATAAAAATCTGAGAAGACAGAAGATGATTCCTCATTTACCCCTGGCAAGGAGAAAACCCCCAATGCTTCCCAAGCAGAGAGCAGCACTTTGTGTTTGTGTGTGCTCTGTGCCGGGTCAGCCCTGCTCCGGAGGTGCTTATTTGTCCCTTTCTTCCTGAATTACTTCCTCTAATACCTCATCAGGACATCCTGAGGCCTCCAGGAACCCATTACATTTAAGGCCTCTGATCTAATGGTTCCTCTCTTCTCCAGTGCTGCTTCAAAGAGCCGAGGGTTTGGGCTGGTTTAGGATGTTTGAGGATATTTGAGGATATTTGAGGCTGTTTTGATGCCTGCTGCCTGCCCGTGGCTGTACAGAGCCTGGCAGCCCACCACAGCCACACTGAGCTCCCTGCCCCTGCTTTAACAAAAAAACCTCAGGCTAAGGAAAAAAAAAAACAATCTCATGTGCTGGAGAAGGCTCGATGAGCCAACATCGACACCAATGATGCTAATGGAATCTTAAGAATCTACTAAGAGGATGAAGTCCACCCCTGTTTCCAAACTGGAAACTGCTGGACTCTGCACTGGTCAAACGCTGCACCAGGGGCAGCCCTGGCTCAAGAGCAAAGTGAATTTCCAGGTGAGCTCCCTGACAGCTCCTGCAGCCACGGGGAACGCTCCAATTCCACTCCAGAACGGCTCAAAGTGGGGCAAAGATCACCAGGAAAGGTTGCCAGCCCTGCTCCAAGGCATCACCCAGCAGCCCAGGCTCCCAGCACTGCTCTGCTCTGCACTTAGAGCAGGCAGCAGCTTGAATTTTTTTACATAACTCACGTCTTTCATTTGCCTTCTAAATTACTCCATTTAAATCTACCTTAAACAGACCTGCAGTTAAACCTAACATTTTTGTGGTTAAGTATCTGAATGTGGCATTCCAGGAATCCCAGAGCTGGGAGCAAAGCCTGGCCGGGCCAGGGCCGGGCTGGGGCTACAAGTCATTAATTGTTCGAGCACCAGCAACATCTTCATCATTAGCAGCTCATTAGCAAGTGCTGCAGTTGAGGATTTCTCTCTCAACTTGTGTCAGGTCTTGGTGCCAGGATGGAGGGGAGAGGGAATTTAGGAGATTAGCCCTAATATGAGAACACCACGAGGAAGCCTCTGCAGTCATTACGTGTCTGGACTAGGAAACAAATTTCCCATTCTCATCCCACCCCATATGGCTTAAGCACAGGTTTATCACGAAATTATTTGTCTGATTAAATCAGATGGCTGCCCAGCTTTCTGCATTTCCAGCTTTTATAACAATAAAATAACAACCTGTAGGTGTCAGCTGGCATTTGCAGCTTTCTGAAAGATCTGTGGCACTCGGGCAGTGAGAGGAAAATGAGAGGAAAACCAGAGGAGCCCCCTACAATGCCCAACACCTCAAACTCAGTGGGAGCAGCCAGAGGATTTCCATCTGCAGGCACTTAAAATTCCTCCCTGGGAGGGTGGGAAGGACCTGGCACAGGCTGCCCAGAGGAGCTGTGGCTGCCCCATCCCTGGCAGTGCCCATGGCAGGGGTGGAATGGACACCTCATGGCTCCTTCCAACCCCAAACCATTCTGTGATTCTTTCCTTGTCCCACTTTTTGGAAATCGAATTCCAACTTTTAATAACTGCACCCACACAAAGATCCCCCTGCACGCACAGTCTTACTAGTTCTCATAATGAATACACATATTTAAATTACCCAAACTCTCAGAAACCTTCCTGGGCTAAATAGACAATTATTTCTTCTGAGAGGTACTAAGAGTCAACAAAAAAATGATTCTTAAAAAGTGTATGGAAAAGATTAACCCAAAACAAAGGCAGCTGTTGAAAACGGTGACAGAAATAGGATTCTGGTTGTCAAGGAGCACACGTTTTAAAATGAAATTATACTGCATCCTTCTGAATGAAGCTATTATTGGAAGCTAACAAGCTCTATTTAAGAGATAAGCATTTAACAGAGTCAAACGGTTGGGTTTTTTATTCAAATGAATAAAACTGAATATTCATTTGAATAATCTTTTCTGTAAAAGAAAAGACAAAGAAAAGGCAGAAAAATAAAGTAAGAGGCAAACAGATGCCCCAAATGAGAGGCTCTGAGCCAAGCACCACTAAAGGAAGCTGTGACATGTATCCACGACCTCCAGGTGAAAAATCCTCCTCTGGTACCTGCTGGGAATGAGGAGTTATTCCACTCCATTCATCTGCTGCTTAATGAGCACCAACAGGCACCAAAATGATGCCAGCCCAGACACCTGACATCCAACGGGGCAGGACACGTCCTCCAACACACTGTGACACCAGGAAGAAGAATTCAGGAAGAATTTCTTCATGGAAAGGGCAGGCAGGGGCTGCCCAGGGAGGTTTGGAGGTGACACTCAGTGCTCTGGGCTGGGGACAAGGTGGGCACCAGGCACAGCCTGGACTCGGTGATCTTGGAGGTCTTTCCCAACCCCAATGATTGTGGGATTCTGTGAAAAAAACCTCCTCTGATCCCAAGCCTCGTTCAGCCACCAAAGCTGCCCAGGCCCGTGGGAAGCTCCACAGAGTCAGCTCAGCACGTCCTGCCACACTATTCCAGAAATAAGACAAACACTGCCCAGAGAAAGGGACTGAAACCATAAAAATATTAAAATACCATACAAGAATACTCAGAAGCCATAAATACCATTAAGAAGCCAGACTGAAGATACCAAATGTCAAGGCTCTTGTGTTCTGTATTTTGGTTTTTTTCCACACTCTAACCAATTCCATTTCACACTTTTGTCATCACTTGAGAGTTTTTACGTCAAGCTTGGTAAAATACAGCTGAGATGACGCCAGCAGGGCTATGAAATCCATCTCCTTTCCCTGGCTGGCAGCAGCATTCCCACAGCCCCAGGTCTGGCTGCAGAGCAATGGCACAGGTACCAGCACCTCCATCACCAGCTGGTGCCTGAGCCAGCCCAGCTCAGCAGGCAGGCACAGCTCTGGGGCTCTCCAGCCACCTGAAGGATGCTCTGGAGGGTGAAGACACTGCAAAACCAGAGCCTGCTTTAAGTCCCGAGCTGCCTGAGGTCTCCTGATGATGGGCAGCAAGTCCCTCCATCTCTGCTGTGCCCACCCTGCTGAGCCCACGGGGTCCCTGCAGCTGGGACAGCCTTGTCCTGCACTTACAGCAACCAGAGAGCTCCTGAAAATATTCTGGCAGCTAGGGGACCACCTTGTCCTGCACAGCAATCCCAAAGAACAAGGAGACAAGAGCAGGGAGAGGACAAAGGAGATTTCCACGGCCCCATCACACCAACACAGCTCTGCTGGAACCTCACTGCTGCTGCTCAGCAAGAACCACCCCACAGGGCAGGACCAGAGCCCCCCGACTCACAGAGTGCCCCACAGACCCATCCTGCTCATCTGGCACTGGGATGGGGCCCTGGGGTCCCTGGGGTCCCTGGGGTGGAGCTGCCCAAGCAGTGGCTGTGCTGACAGATGGAATCTCCAGCCTGACACCCACTGCAGCTCCCAGCATTTTCCAGCAATGAGGAAATATTAGTTCAGGCTGTGCTCCCCCCCTTCGTGTCGGGGCTCTGGACTTGACCTCCTCGCCTGTGTCTGTTCCACTGCTCACATCTGAGTTCCTTCAGCTCTGAAAAGCACAAAAGTCCAGTCCTGCTGTGGGATTATTTATGCACCTGCTTTCTTGTTTATACCCATAGTTTTGGCAGCTGGTCCTGTGAAAGGTAATAAAATGCCTTTCAAAAGTAAAAAAAAAAAAAAAAAAAATTTAAAAATGAAGAAATGTGACCAGACAAGCCAGGCATAATAACATTAAAGCCCGTGTCAATTAATTTTTCCTCTTCTTGATAAACGAGCCCCATTCCATCCATTAATAATGAGGGAAGAAACAAGAAAAGTTGACACTAGTTTAATTTATTTTCTCAACTTGCCTGGTCATATTTCTCCCTGTTGCAAAGCTTTCTGGTGCTGCTGGGAATTGCAAGTGGCTCCCACACAGTCGATGCATAGATTGGTGTGAATCAATACCATTCTACTTTATTCACACATCCCTTGTAATCAGAGAGGAAAAAGTTCCTTAGTAAGCTCCCAGCCTGCCAAGCTGCCTTATAAAAATAATAATAATCATAATCATAATAAACTTGCAGGTGGGGGTGGAAAGGGGGATGTGAAACCAAGTCCTGTGATCACTGTCACCAAATCTTGTCTTTGCAGATAAACAGAACACACTGAGCAGAGGGGACAGGACATTTTAATTACCCAGACAGTGAACCATGGATGCTTTTAGAACTTCTGTCTATAACAAGTCATTACCCCCAGAGTCTGGGAATGGGGACCTGGGGGTTTAATCCTGTGTCAGGGAAAAGTCATTCATTCCTCAGCCCCAGAACACGACAGCCAGGACTTGAAAACTCAGCCCTGACTTTGCCACCTCCTCATGTTGTGCCTTTGGAGAAGTCACTTAAATATTCCCT